TCTTTCCATCCCTCTCCGTCTCTCTGGCAAGCACACAAACCCTATAGCAAAAAATCTCTCCCCCCAAAATCTATATCTATCTATCTATCTATCTATCTATCTGGACATCAGCACCAGCAGGCCTGGTGGTTAAGGCGCTGGATTCCCTGGATTCCCATATGGCCAACGGCAATTTGAGTCCTGGACCTGGCAGCTTCTTTCCTTCCTTCCCCCCACCCCCCTCTCTCTCTCCTAAGCACATATGTCCTATACCAAATTTAAAATAAATTAATTAAATAATTCTTTGAGGGGAAAAAAGTAGGTATCGTGGCCAGGGAGTAGCCAGGAGGTTAAGACTCTGGACTTCCACATGGCCAATTGCAGTTCAAATCCTGGACCCAGAGGCTTGAAAATCACATCAGGTGTGTGTGCACACGTGCCCCAAATCCCAGGGTGCAAATGGAGGAAAGGGGATTGTGGTGTGGCCATCTTCCCTGGGGGGGGTGACTTCTTACTTTCCCTCGCTCTGTCTCTCTCTGGAGAGTGTGTGCGCCCTATGGCAAAAGACAAAACAAACAAAGAAACAAATGTAGGCATTCCAGTGACTGCTTCAGCCTCGTGTAAGCAATATTGCTCAAAAGATCACACGTTCGGGGACCAGCAGGTGGTGTGGTGGTTAAGGAGCTAGACATTCCCACATGGCTGACCATGGTTCAAGTCCTGGACCTGGCGGCTTGCTTTCTCACTTTCTCTCTCTCTCTCTCTCTCTCTCTCTGTGTGTGTGTGTGTCTCTCTCTGGTCAAAATAAAATAAGTAAATGAATAAATAAAATTAAAAAGAAATAATTCTTTAAAAAGAAATCACAGGTTCAGAGCTACATGGTGGGGCACAATCCCACACAGGAAGGTTCAAGACCAGAGACTTCCCTGAGTGTGCCAGGCACATCCTGCCCAGAATCCAGGTCTAGCTGAAGGCTGAGGGCAGATCATGGCACTGAGACCCCATTAGGGGTGCACACACACACACACACACACACACACACACATTTATTTATTCATTTACTTATATTTGACCAGAGAGGGGGAAGAGAGAGAAAGTAAGAAAGCAAGCCACCAGGTCCAGGTCTTGAACCATGGTTGGTCATGTGGGAGTCCAGCGCTCTTAACCCCCACCCCACCTGCCACCCCCCACACTCTCTCTTACTCATGGAAGAAATAAATAAGCTTAGAGAAAGTGTGGGTGGAAGAGCTATGTACACATTTCCTGATATATATGCAAATACACAATTATTTCAGTTAAACGTTCATCGTTCATTTGTGTAACTACCTTAAGTGCCTCCTGAGACACACACTGTGCTTTGTGGAAACTATAAACCACCAGCTGTGGGAGCTGAAGTAACAACCACCCCATGTGCAGGCCCTTGGGGCGCTGTTACAAACCACAGTGCACCCAGCAAGGTGGGCTGATCACAGAGGGCTTCCTGCAGGAGGAGGACCCTGAGAAGCCTAGAGGGATGCATCAGTTTGGCAAATGGGGTGGGGAGGGGAGGAGAGGGGGGAAGGTGCTGCACGAGCAAAGGAGATGAAGCTGGGGACCTGCAAATGGGGTAGAACTCCTACATGGCTGACCATGGTTCGAGTCCTAGACCCAGTGACTTGAAACTTCATGCCGGGCACATATGCATGTATGTCTGAGAACCCAGGAGAAGAAGGGATTGCAGTGTGGCCATCGCCCCCACCGGGAGGGGGGTGATTTCTCACTTTGTCTCTTTGTCTCTCCCTCAAATTCATGTGCCCTATAGCAAAAATCTCAAAATAAGAGAGAATCGCCTTTTTTAAAAAAGTATTATTTTATTTAGCATTATTTATTTAATTTGAACAGAGAGGGATGGGGGGTGTGGAGTGAGAAACCAAACCGCCAGGTCTGGGACTTGAACTGCAGTCGGCCGTGTGGAAGTCCAGTACCCTTAACCACCATGCCACCTGCCGGCCTGTCCTGTTATTTACATCATCAACCTCTGGGAGGCCCACCCACCAGGTGGGTGTCCACCTCTACTTCAGAGAGGCAGCAACTGACCAAGGGGTCAGGGGAGGGTGCTGCTTCACAGGCTGGCCAAAAGAATTAGGGTGGTAAGAACATAGTTGTGAGGGCCAGCAGGTAGCGTGGTGGTTAAGGCACTGGATTCCTAAGTGGTTGACTGTGGTTCAAGTCCCAGACTCGGCAGCTTGGTTTCTCACTTCCTCCCTCTCTCCCAGATGAGTGCACATGCCCTATAACAAAATTTAGATACTAATAATAAATAAAATTTAAAAATTATTTTTAAAAAAGGTGAGGAACTGGCAGGTGGCAAGGTGATAAAGGCATTGGACTCCCACATGGTCAACTGCTGTTTGAGTCCCAGACCCAGTGGCTTGCTTTCTCACTTTCCCTCTTGCTCTGGTTAAATTAGAAAATAACGATGACTAAAATGAAATAAAATAATTCTTAAAAAAAAAAGGGGGGGAGGGCCTGCAGGTGGGGTGGTGGTTAAGGCGTTGTACACTCCCACATGGCTGATTATAGTTCTAGTCTCGGACCTGGTGGCTTGCTTTCCCACTTTCCTTCTCTCTCTCTCTCTCTCTCTCTCTCCCCTCTCTGTCTCTCTCTGGTCAAGTTAAAATAAATGAATGAATACATAAAATGAAATAAATTGTTCTTTTTTTAAAAAAAATAAAAAGAATATATTTTTTTAAAGTACACAGTTCATGCAGTTTTTTTTTTTTTTTTTTTTTTTTTGGGGAGTTTTTTTTTTTTTTTGAGAGAGAGATTTTCATTGTAGGGCGCGTGCGCTCGCCAGACAGAAAGAGACTTAGAGACAGAAAGCGAGAAATCACCCCCCGGGGGGAAGGTCACGCTGCAATCCCTTCTCCTCCATTCTCCTCTTGGGATCTTGGGCACACAAGCACACGCGCCAGGCATGAGATTTAAGCCACCGGGTCCGGGACGCGAATCGCGATCGACTACGTGGGAGTCCAGCGACATAGCCATTACGCTAACTGCTGGTTCCCAAGTTCATGCAGCTTTCAGGGCCAGATCCTGTGGCCTGAACCGGCTCTGCACCTACTTAGCTGGGGTTCCACCCAGTCTGCTGACCCCCTTCCCGGCTCTGCCTCCTCCTATCGGAGGGGCTTGCGCTCCCACCTCGTAGCTCCTCCCCTCCTTCCGGATTCCTTATCAGCCAGCACACCTGGGCAGGGAAAGGAGGGTAAAAAGTCAGGCCCTCCTGGCTCCCACCCAAGGCGACTAAAGCGACCGCTACAAAATCACCCCCAAAAAAGACCATAAAACCTTGCGTTCCTTTAGGACAGGGAGGGCTCTAAATCTGTCTCTGGCCTCACCTTAGCCTGCAATGGAGGTACTAAAATCACAGACCGGGAGAGTCAGCCCCTGGCCACCCAAACGCCTCTCTGCACTCAGGCCAAGGCACAGGGTTTGGACGTAGCGTAAACGCGGTCAGTGTCCGGCGCTGCACTCGGCCCAGGAGGCCAGGAGGGGTGAGCTCTGGGGTCCCGGGGTTTGAGCCTGCACTGGGGTCTTCCCACCTACGGCGGGTGCTGCCCAAGGTTGCAGGCGCCGGCGCCGCGTGTTGGCCCGGGGAGAGTCAAAGAGGTGTTAGGACGCCACCTAGCGGGAGTCCTGGGGGAGTTCTGGCTCAACTTTTCCCAGGACGGCTCTTCCCCGCTTGATCCCGAGACCTCGCGGCCACGTGGTTGCAAACCTTGGCTGGTGGGAGGTGGCCGAGGGCGGAGTCCGGCCTCGTGCCCCACCAAGGCTGGCTTCAGCCCCTCGCCTGTCCCCTGTCCCCTCCAGGGCTTGCAACAACCCCCAACTGTCCTGTCCGCGGTCCTCGGTGGTCCCCCTAACCGAAGGACCTGACTCAGTCGCCCTGCTTAAGCCCTCGCGCTCTGCTGCGTTTGCCCGTGTGCCCAGGGCATGCAGGGTCCCATTATCAGCTAAGACGGTCGCCAAGAGCAGGGGACACTAGACGGGAGAAGGCCAGAGTACTAGGGACCAACGAAGGGTTGGGGGAGGCGTGCCGCCTCCCGCTGGGGGCGTGTCCTAAGGCCCCGCCCAGGCTCCCGCCCCCCCGCCGTGACAAGCGCTGCAGAGTTCGTCCCCAAGACAGAATCGCTGCTACTGGTCGTCGTCTCTAAGCTCGGGAATCCCACTGCCACCACCATGCCCCGGGGAAGCCGCAGTGCGGCCGCCCGGCCAGTCAGGTGTGAGGGGAACTGGACCCCCGTGGGGACGGGGTTCGGGACGCGTGGGCACTCCCCCAAGGGCGTCCGCAGATTGACCTTGGCTACTGCTGCGCCATCTTGGCGGGGGGA